GGGGGGGGGGGGGGGGGGGGGGGGGGGGACTTCTCAAGATGACAGTCTTTTCCTCTGGTTCCGTTAATGCAATTTTGCAGGGCTCGACCTTATGGGCGTCCACAGCATCCAGTTTTTTTTCTGCGTGTTATTGTTCTGTCTGCTCGTGTGCAGTCTTATCTGTATGAAGCGAGTTACAAAAGGCATGAGGGAAGAAGTAACTCAACACAATGACCCCAGCCACCTTGATTAATCACAGCACGGCTGGCTGTGTGCAGAGTCGAGAACATCTGCCTGACATGTACTCCCTTCTACCCTAAAGCCAGACACACACACACACACACACACACACACACACACACACTGAAAAAAGGTGCCCTAGCTGCAGTGCCGCTTCAGCTCCTGCGGCTATTGCTGCTGATAAACTTGGCCGGCTAATTGCAAGTCAAAAGCTGTTAGCAACTCTGGGTATCAGTGGCCCTATGGGGGCTCTCCGAGGGGGGCTTTCACACACTGAGCCGCCACATGCCGTTACACTGCCGCTAATGCGTTGTGGCATCCTCCCTGGTGCCAGCAGATTGCCTGGGCGGAGACGGATCGTCGGGACAAGTGCAAGTGCTTCCTGCATCTGGTGGTGTGCCGGTCACATGGTGCAGAGCGAAAGACCGGCTAGGTTAATAAAGGTGAGGACACCGAAGGAGCCGTCACACGTTCATTCTACTTAATTACGATGGGACCGTCCTCTGGTCATCCTTAATCTCAAAGCAGTAGCAGTTAAGCACGTTTGTTCTCATAATCCAGTGTGGTAAAACGTATGGTTATTATACTGTGTTATTGATCCACGGTATTAAAAACAGCTCACACAGGTAAGCGTGTGTGTGTTAAAGGTACAGACAGGAAGAGTCTGGCTGCAGTATATTTAAGCAATGGCTCATGACAGGCTGGGTATGTTGTGATTATATTAGGTCATAAAGGGAAGCCGTTTTTCGTTTAATCCCGCTCCACTATGTGAGGCACTAAATTATTTCAACTTCATTAACAAGATCCGGCCCTCATCCATTGAAATGAACCTTAGCAGACTAACGCTGCTAAGTAATTGTGTCTGTAACCTGTTCCGTGTTGGCTTAAGTTGGCTTTTATTAGACTGCAGGAAAAGGTCAAGAGAGGGGATGACAGCTACACGGAACGGACTGGAACCCCAGTTGCCACGATAGTATGTGTCGCAGATCTACAAGCAACCTGACCTGGTCACAGCGAAGCACGGAAAGGCCTCTGCAACAAATGGTAAAGAGGAAATAATAACCAGAAACCAGATGCAGACTAAGGATCCAAAACTAGTTTCCATGTTGAAGTTGCAATTATCCTAAAGGTGGCGAGAAATGAACACTGCTTAAAAGTGAAAAACACATCTTTTGTTCCAGTTCTGTCAAACAGACTACGTATGGAAAGACAAGTGATCGTCTCACCCACGTTTCAAAGTCAAAGACGCCACATAGCAAAGAATAAATCGGTGCAGAAGAAAAATGGAGGCATCTTGATGACATTCACAAAAGCATGCTGCCTGGCACGCATTTCCAAACAGAAACCGTAATCACCCCGGATTTCATTTTCAAAATTTAAATATTCGCTGAATTAATTATTCTGCCAAATGGAGTTTCCATTTAGGGATAACATATGTATTAAATGAGCTGTAAATGAAAGCTGACATATGGCTAGCATTACTGGGTTTGTGTCTTGGAGCTGTTATGAAGCTTTTCTTCATGTGATGGATGTGCGCTGGCTTCAAGAGCAGTGCAACCAATGAGTTCATTTAGCTCTGTTAGCTCAATGAACCAGCCCCCATCAGCCTGTTGTTGGTAGGATTAATGATGTGGAGGGTGAACATGAGCTGTTGTTCTGGAAAGCTGGGACACTGGAGCCTTTTGGAAATAGTTTGGATGTAATTTAGATCTTTTCATTTATTTCATATTGCAAATCAGCGATCTGTATAATTTAAAGGGTTGTTTGTCGGGTGGAGGTAGAACTCTCAGAGACGGATATCTCAAAACCTCAGTGAATGAAACCAAATCAGGTGGACAGCTGAACATTACACCTTTTTGAAATTGTTGCACGACTCATTCCAAAACCAAAGGCCTCATTATGCTGCTATAAAAGCCTCCGCTCTTGTGGGAATTCTTTCCACACGAGTTGGGAACCTGGCTGCAGGGATTTGCTCCAATCCAGCCACAAGAGCATCAGTGAGGTCGGCCACGGATGTAGGCCAATAAGGCCTCGCTCATAGTTGGCGTTCCAGTTCATCCTCAGCGCTCTGTGCAGGCCGGTGAGTTCTTACACACCAAACTGGGAAAATGTTTCCAGATCACATGTTTTCAGAGTTGTGAGAACACAGAAATCTGACTTTTGTTTCACAAACCAGAACTCTGATTCAATGAAATGATGTCATAGTTGCGTGGACGCGCTGATTGGCGGTGTTTTCATGTCACACGCACCTTACTTTAAATATTCACGTTAAATATGAGCAGAAATGTAAAGTCTTTCTTTAGGAGTGATACAGAGTCGTACGTTATGATTGTGTATCGGGGAACCCAGATCTGTTAAATTGGGCGATATATTAATGGCCTCTGGCAGTCAGTGGACTCCAACAACTCCAGTGGAAATGGGCCTTTGGAACAGAGGGCTTTTGTTTTCCGAATAATGGGCCGTCGGACTAATGAGACTGTTGTCAGACTGCTGGGATTTTGGAATGATTGGCCGTCGGATGAATGGGCAGTACACCATGTGCGGCGTTGATGTCCGACATGAGTCACTTCAGACATAAATGTTAACAGTCTCGGCAGAAAGATCAGATCTTGGGGTAAAAATAAAAAGTCAGAATTGAGCATTAAACCCTGTAATGTGTACATAGCCTCATATAGAAGTGTGGCAAGGAGGAAGGAGCCTTCAGCTAGGAACAGTGTATGTGCAGGATGACACGGAGGTAATGTGCAGACACAAGGGCTTATCTCTACCTTCAGATGGCTTCTATGAGTCACAATGCCAGGGGGAGGATGAGTGGGGGGGATGGGGTTTTGGTCTCTGTTACTTATGGTGCCCCCTGACACACTCACAGCCTCTTTCCTCCATCCTTTCTCAGCTTGTACAACGAGGGTGCATTAATAAAGTCTCCTGCACACACACACACACACACACACACACACACACACACACACACACACAC